GCGATAAGGTCGGAAGAACTGGATCATATCGATCAGTCGCATCTCCGACTTGCAAAAACTGCCCGTGTGCCAATGCAATCTTTGGAGAGCGAAATAAAGCTAAGATTTAAATAGCTTCTCGATCAAGTGATGCCACGAGGATTAGGATAAGTACACAGGAAGAAGCTTCGACGACCATGTCGACGCTGACGTCCGTATGGCAGCTAGGAGCCTCGGATATATATAAATGAATATCTAGGGTGTTTTTTTGGAATAAATGAATATCTAGAGCTAGTTTTGTACTCCCTTCGCTCCAAAATAAATGTGTCAACTTTGTACTAATTTAGTATAAATTAGTACACGCATTCATTTGCCTTGTGCCCAAGTTGTTGCACATATAGTAAAGTCAATCGCGTGGGGATTGTTCTATTGTCTCAAAAAATATGAAAGGTTACTTCAAATGGTACCATGTCGAAAACAGGCATGTCCTGCCTATAAAGAACGGTAATGTTAATTGGCAAACATCAGCTGGGGGACGCCCGCACAGTCATTCGGTTCAAATCATGTGGATGGCACGGCCTTTTTCTAAAAAAAAAATTGCCTTCTATGCTAAAAAATTGTCATGCTCTACTGAAGAAAATGTCATCCCCGTATAAACAAAGCTGCCTGGTAAAACGTTCGCAAATGCCATCTTTTTTGACGAACGTTCACCAGCTAATAGTGTCCGTAAACAAAGTCAGAAAACAAACAGAGTAGAACTGAAAAAAAAGAGGCTATATATTCAACCTGCTATGAAAATTTTGTGTGCTTGAGTCCAATGTGTTCCAAGGCCGGGAGCCTCTGCATCGTTGAATCCTAAATAATCCCGTTTATTTTAGCAGTGTCAGTCGATGATGCACTTTCGCTCATCAATACTCAACCAACAAGTAATGCAACGTTTTCCCCTACACTTCTGCGGCTAGGGTTTCCTTCCTCTGAGGCAATCTGATCATCCTGAGTCCTACCCTTCGGCGATCGGCGGGGTCGGCGTCCTTCGTCAGCCCGGTGGATCTCCAGACCGTCACCTGATGGCTTTCCCCTCTCAGACGCTAACTCTGCTATGAGCGGCAGTGCTGCGCCGGCCACAAACCCCGATCTGGAAGATTTCTTCGACCAACTGGACCTCAATGATGAGGAGTTAAATGATGTGGAGATCGATGAGGATGATCCCGGGATCAAAGAAAGCGTTCGGTGGCTGGCCCTAGGTAGGGTTCATACCGACAAAACTTCACTCAATCTGCCTTCAACAAGGATATGAGGGTGGCATGGAACCTGGCACAAAGGGTGAGGTTTCGGCCTGTCGGCCTCAATAGATTTGTTGTCCAGGCATCTTGCTTGGGGGATTGGGAGCGCATAATGATGCAAGGTCCATGGTTGTTCCGTAATTGGGCGGTGCTGTTGTGCCCGTATGATGGCTTCAGTAGAGCCGAGGATTGTCGTGTTCGTACACATGCCAATTTGGCTTCAGATCCACAAGCTGTCGGACCCCTTTTGCAAGGAATACATTGTTGAGAAACTCTTGAAGGGTGCTGGTGAAATATTGGGGATGCGTCTTAACGGAAACACCCGTGCTGACTATGTAAGGGTGAGGGTGAACCATGATAACAGCCCCTTACAAAGTTTGTGAGTATTGTTTGTGCTAAAGAACGACAGGTTTAACTGGTTCGTTATGAAAAGTTGGCTTGGTTCTGCAAGGTATGTGGCCTGGTTGGACATGAGCATAAGGAGTGTGGGCTGGGAATTATGATGAAAAGAAGCTGAAATGTGGGGATTGGCTGTATGTCGATGCCCCTAATAGACCACGGTTAGATTCTTACCATGGTAGGGCATCCGGTCCTCGTCATTTCTGAGATGAATGCAAGCCCCTCAGGTCTAACGGATCCTGAGCAAAAGAGGATTGCCCCTGAGATCCTGGATACGACAACAAGCCCGTTAAAGAACTCTGTGCCAGAATGGAGGTGGACAGGGATGCAAGGAAAAGATTGAACATGGATAACTTTGGGGATGGAACAAATAAAACCCATGGTGCTTCGAAGTCATTACTTGCCATGACCGATGGCAGTGGGAAGGATCTAAGAGAGACAAACTCGCCGAGGAGCAGCACTTCAAGCAGTAAGCGAGCAAAGCTCTCAAAGGACAATGATAATAAGGAGATATCGGCGGCCTCCCTCGAGGAGGACCGCCGGACACAATGAGTATTCTATTTTGGAACTACCGGGGGGATGCCGCCGGACAGTTTGTTAGGTATTGGCCCTCTCAAAAGCCAACAACCCCAAACTAGTCTTTCTTTGTGAGACTAGGCAAGAGAATATGAAAACTGATAAACGACGATGGAGACTAGGCATGAAAGGCTTCCATGGTGTAATTACTGATGGTAGAAGTGGCGGCTTAGCACTCTTCTAGGATGAGTCGCTGACAGTAGCTGTTTTGAAGCATGCAATCGGTTCATTGATGTTAATATTAAGGATGGGGGCTCCAACATGTCTTGGAGAGGCACCTTTGTTTATGATGAACCGAGGGTGGAAAACAAATATCGTATGTGGGATCATTTGTGTCGGCTCCGGGCTAGTTCGCAGGATCCATGGTTGGTTTGTGGCGACTACAATGAAGCACTGTGGTAGCACGAGCGTCTATCAAGGAGCTTGCGTTCTGAATCTCAAATGACGGCTTCAGAGACTGTCTTCAAGTGTGTGAGCTTGAGGACCTTGGCTTCTATGATCTTTCCTTCACATACAATAATGGCTAGGCGGCTGACCGCAACGCCCAAGTTTGTTCTATCTGGCGTGTGTGGATGAAGCGTGGCGTGATATGTTCCCAGTGGTGAGGGTTCTTCATCTTGCCACTTCTTGTTCTAACCATAGTCCTCTGTTAGTCAAACTTGAGGGTGTGCAGGAGCAGCGGCATCGGGCGTATACTCCGCGCTACGAAATTATATGGGAACATGATGTTACACTTCCTGATGTGATTGCTAGGGCTTGGAATAAACATAGGCCGACCGACAGCCTGGGTTCAGCGGCAAACTCTTTGAAAGAGTTGATGAAGGAGCTAAAACAATGGAGTTGTGCACACTTCGGGAATGTACTAAAAGAGACCGAGTCGCTCCGTCCGCAACTGGCAGAGCTACAGCTGGCGGGTTTATACCATGCTCATATACGTACCAAGATGAACCAGCTCGACGAGTTGCTGTATAAGGAGGAGATGATATGGCTTCAGCGTTCTCGTATCACCTGGTTGAAGGAAGGGAAGCGCAATACCAAATATCTGCATAGGCAACCAGTATGGCGAGCCCGCAGGAACCATATGCAGTGTTTGCTGAAGAATGATGGCTCATGGTGCAATGTTCCGACAGACATGGAGCGGATGTCTCACTCCTACTTTAAAGAGATTTTCACAAAAGACCCAACCCTGTCCCCAGGTGAGGTTCTTGAATGTATCACGCCTAAAGTTACGGTGGAGATGAACGAGTCACTTTGTAAACCCTATACCGAGGAGGAAATCTCAAATGCCCTATTTCAGATTGGCCCCTTGAAGGCCCCGGGGTGTGATGGATTTTCGGCCAGGTTTTACCAGCGGAATTGGACGTTATTGAAGGATAAAATTGTTGCGGCAGTCCATGATTTCTTTGCCACGGGCGTTATGCCAGATGGTGTCAATGACACGGCGATTGCGTTGATTCCTAAGGTTCCTTGTCCCAAGGAGCTTAAAGATTTTCGACCAATTAGCCTGTGCAATATGATATATAAAATTATCTCCAAATGCATGGTGAATAGATTATAGCTCTTCCTCACCGAGCTCATATCAGAGAATCAGAGCGCTTTTATTCTAGAGAGGCTTATATCTGATAACTCAATCATTGCATTTGAACGTATTCATCACATACAATCAATAAAAATAATTCACCAGCTTTATGTGCTTACAATCTTGATTTATCTAAAGCATATGATCACATTGATTGGGAGTTTTGGGGGAGGGCTCTAGCTAAATGGGGCTTCTCTCAGCAATGGTTCTGAGGTTTGGAAAGGTATATCGTACTGAGCCAATTATAGCTGATCTGAGCGAGCTACCGCTGTGTGGTTGGGCTCAGTTTCATCGTGTATTGGGGATTTGTGACCTCTCGACTGTAACTCTATGATCTTGCAATAAAAGCTCCCTTTACCCCGGCGAAAAAATACTCAACCAACAACGAAGAGTGGAACTGAAAAAGTTAGCCATTTTTTTGGATCCACAAAGTCCGGCCGAAACACGCAGGATACCACGTACGGAGTAGAACTGCAAAATATATATACAACCAACTCTCAAGACTCGTAATTCTCTTCTTCTATAACTCTCAAGACTCGTAATTAATTTGTGTGCTTGAGTCAAGACTCAAGACGTTGGAATGGAAGGCTTTGAGCCTGGACCGTTAAAGCCACAGGTTTTAACAGTGTGACGTCAAAGGAACCATCGCGCTCTGTTGACCCTGCTAGTCGGTGGATCCTTGACTGATTAGCTAGCTGGTTTCACTTTCACGTGCGCCGCTGCGAAGCAGCCAGAGGAAGAGGGGCATGGGGCGGTGGTACGGTCGTGGACTCGTGGTGGTGTTCGCTCGTGTCGTGTCGTTTCCGTCGGTGTTCACAAAACAGATGACATTGACCGACGATGCCCCGTCTATTTCATAGAAGATGGATCTATTATAAGAAAAGCTGACGAAATCGCCGTAGCAACATCCCTATCGACGTGAGTGTAGGCTCTATATTTTTCCTTAACCAAACACAAGGAGCATCCATTATAGAGTTTGATAAACTTTGGTGGGTGCGCCTAAGACCGTCCGACCAGAGGTTCACAACTCCACACGATACTTTTAGTACTTCACACATTTATAGAAGGAACCCTAGCGTTTTATTTAAGCGGGTAGGAACCCTAGCTTGTTTTTTTTTTTAAGGGAAGGACCCCTAGCTTGTTTTTTTAAGGGAACCCTAGCTTGTTTCTTTTGCGGGGAGTTTTTATTGCAAAGTAATAGTGTTATAGATGAGAGGCCACAAATCCTCAATACAAGGTGGAACCGAGTTTAACCACACATCAGTGGTTCTCTCGGAGCGACTGTAATTGGCCAACCGATCGGCAACTCTATTCTGGCTACGGTGAATTTTCTGGGGTAAAAACTCCCTACTACTTATCAAATCCTTAATCTCTAGAACTAAATGACCATAAGCCGAGCGAACCAAAGCATTGTTTGATAGGCTGGCTAGTGCTTCTGAAGAGTCTGACTGAACGACAACAGGAAGGGTTGTATGATTGATGGTCAAGGCCATTCCTTGCATGATCGCATGGAGTTCAGCTTCCAAGGCGTCGTTGCAGTAGAATAAGACACGGTAAGCAGCAAAAATGATTCTGCCATTGCTGTCTCTCTCAAAGAACCATTCCAGCAGCAGCCGAGCCGTCAGCCTCCTGGAATGAACCGTCCACAGTAAGAGCGACAGTGCCCAGTTTAGGGGCTGGCCATAGCAGAGAGGGGTCTCCATCCTTTGTATAGGTATCTGATCTGCCGAAGATGGCATTTTACCTTTCAGAATCTCCTCTGTAGAGCCGCCAGCTTGATGGATTTATAATAACTATCAAGGAAGTCCACCGTAGTGGGGATTGGCGGAACTTCCTTGCCATGTGTTTGGTCATTTCTCAACTGCCATATGCGCTATATCAGCATTATAATCATATCTCGCACATCAACCGAGCATCTGCTCATCAGGTGCATGAGCCATTCTTTACCATTATCAATCAGAAAATCATCAGGAGGAAGGGGCCATCTAGCCCGCATATTTATCCATAAGGTTCTTGCATGTGTACATGCTACCAATGCGTGGTATGTTCCTTCTTCCTCCACCCCACATAAAGGACAAGTAGATCATTTGGAGATGTATCTGTAAAACTTTGCATTGATTCGTTGGTAACACCCCAGTAACGACCTTCCACGCTGTTATCTTCATCTTTTGAGGGAACCCTAGCTTGTTACACCAAAGGTGCTTCACTCTTTTCGAAAGACAATGTGAAAAAGACATAATAATACTTCGTGTATACATTTTTGAACGCACGAAGCAGCCCACATGCCAATTAAGATAAGCATGAAACCTTGATGTGCAATGTGTCACGAGACATGCGACTGCTTGGGGTTTAATTTGAGGTGAGTCTTGTTCGCTTAATCTGGCGTCTCTGGTCATTCGACATTTCTGTTGTTCTGCTTCGAACGAACAGTATGGTCGAAAATTTAGAACTGAAAACATTTGGTTGGTTGGTCCTTCGTTACGAGTTGGTCACCCTAATATCATGTTATGATTGTCCCCTTAGCAAGCATATGATTGTCCCCTTAGCAAGCATATGCAACTCTTCATCAGTAGGTAACATTTTTGCTCTTCCACGGAATGAAAGAAAGAAAGAAAGGAAGGAAGGAAGAAAGGCTCCCAGGCGTTAGGGTTTCTAGCCTCCTGCCGGAGTCACCGCCGATCCGCCTCGTCTCATGTGACCATACGACCATGGAGGCACGGTGGATCCTGGCCCTTGCCGGCGGGAGGGCTCATGCTTCTTTTTTAGCTATTTTAAAATTTGTTTTGGATTTGTGTCCTCCCCAGGAAGGCGTGGCAGCAACGCCTCCCAGAAGATGGAATAAGATTCCTCCCAACTAGCCACCGTCCTGATGGTGTGCCCCGCATCGTCGGAGGGCGTGTGGAGGTGTGTCTCCGGCGGATCACATGAGATTCGGTCGATGTTTGTCTTCGATGGATCAGGTTTTCATTCGTCTGTGTTCATGTGTCTATAGGATCAATCATTTCGATCTACACTTATCTTCATCGGTGGTGGTTATTGTTTTAGTGCGCTGGTCCTTTGGGGGCTTAACACGATGACTCCCGTATGCCTACTAGAACAAGGTTTGTGTGGCTTCAGTGAGGAAGGGGTGATGACGACGGCGCGCCTTTCGGCTCGCTCGAGTGCTTGTGGTCGTCGCAAGGTGGTCTACGGACATGGATATTTTTATTTGTTACTTCTCGTGTCCTTTGTACTGCTATATATGATATTTGATCAATAATCGGATGTTTTCCGTAAAAAAGTATATGCAACTATTCAGAGAAATTAAGGGCCTCTTCGATTCACGGGATTCTAAAGACATGAGAACAGAAAATAAATAAGATTGGAATGTTATGCTCATCTCAATTCTTTAGGATTTAGGGCTGTTTGATTTCATCATAGGAAAAACAAAAGGATTCTTTCAAAGTGGTTTGAGTGGATGCTAGAAACCCTATGGGAAGTAGTACAAAGAAATCTATTGAACAAATTCCTGTATAAATCAATCATATGAATCAAACAACCAACATAAAAAAAATCCTGAGGATTCTAATCCTCCAAAATTCCTATGAAAATTCTTTGAATCAAAGGAGCCCTAAGACATAAGTCCAACAATATCCTATCCTCTAGGGTCCCTATTCATAAATTTAGAGCAAATAACGATGTTTACGTTATTTGCAAAATTGTGTGAATAATACAGTTTCAGCACATGAAGAAGAGATGCTAGCTGATTATATACCGAGCTGAATCCTAAAAGGTGACTCTAAAGTGTACGTGGAGCCATGCGGCTGCACGCACGCACGCATGCATATCCAAAGGAAACGAAAGGAGAGTACGTATGCGATAAGGTCGATCGGAAGAACTGGATCATGCTTATCACTTCCACATTGCTGTGCGCTCCAATTCGATACCAACTACTCGTACTTACCAAAAGCTTCGACCAACGTCGACGCTGACGTGTCATGCAGCCATGCACCCCAGGTCGAGTTCGTCCAGTGTTACACGTACGTAGTTTTGTACTAATATAACGACCGAGTTGCATCTATGTAGTTGCCAACAACAATGACACGTAAAGAAAGGTAAAGGTAAAGGTACGCCAATAGCGTAGGACCCTTTGCGTATCAAGCAGTTTTCCTCTCCTCCTGGCGGCTGAAACCCTAGCCGCCGCCAGGGGAGGCCGATCTTCCAACACCGCTCTCCGGCGGCTTCCCTCCGCCGGCGACCTCGGTCGTCAGTGGTGAGGGGGGTCGCCGGATCCATGCGTGTGGATCGCTTTTACTTTCTCGTAGTTTAGGTTTTTAGGTTGTTGATCGTCTTTGTTTCGGTGGCGACGGTGACAATGCTGAATAAAGATTCTTCGGATCCTTCCCTGACGAGGTCATCGGTCCCATGGTTGGCGATGGATTTGGAAATCAGTCTGTTCAAGCAAGGATGGCGTGGCGGTGGCGGCATCCTCGTGCTGGACCTTTGTCCTCGGGCTCCGCCGTTGCGACGACGTTTGCTCCAGCTTCGGTGCGGAGCTTCGGAGATAGTCCAGGAGCGGATGCAAATTGTGGTATGCATCGACGACATCTGGAAGACGGAGCATGTGCTGGGCTCGTGGTTGGTGGATGGCAGATATGGTTTTCTCCTTCGACGTTTTAGTCGTGGTGGGTCGCCAGATCTGGAGTTCGATGGCGTGTCCGGGGTGTTGCCCCGGTCTGATTCGTTCAACGGTAAGGGTTTCACTTTTGGTGAGCCAGCTTGTAGGTCCGCAAAGCTGCATATCAGCGATGGAGCCGTGTCGAGCTCAGGTGAGGAGGTGATTCATCATTCTTTTCTCCGGTGGCTGCTGTGATGGTGCCGGAGGCAGGTGACAGGCGTTGGTGTCAAGCTCAGAGATGTTCTGCTATCTTTTCAGTTTTGTCATGTTGATCTTTACGTGACTTGTACTTTGTTCTTTATAATAAAAATGAGATATGTATTACCATGAAAAGAAAACAATGACACGTACGTACCCAATATGAAGATGTTGCACATGACTAGAAGGGGTACGCACGACGTCGCGTAGGGACTGCGCTCTCGTCCAAAAGCCACCTAAAAAAGCTTACTCCAAATGGCACGTACGTTAACGTCTCCACTTTGCCACTTTGGATCCACAAAGTCCGGCCGAAACATGGCAGGGTACGTGCGACTCAAAAAGCTATCGAGCTGAACCAACTCTCAAGACTCTTAATTAATTTGTGTGCCTGGTCAAAAGATGGTGTCTGAAGGCCCTTAAACCTGGATCCTGAAAGCCGCAGGGTTTTGACACGAGTGGTCAGGACATGTACTCCCTCCATTCCAAACTAAAACCATGACGAGTAATTTGAAACGGAGGGAGTATATACAACACGTGACGTCCAAGAAATATATAAATTAATTAAACCCGGACATGTACGTAAATCCGTCTGCTTCGCCGACAGCCGATGTGCTCCCTGCATGGCATGTAACCACAGTGACTGGCATGATTGCACCGCGCTGTGGTTTGCACTCAATTAATCTGCTTGTCGGTGCGATTTAAAAAAAACTGCTTGTCGGTGGATCTATCCTCGACTAGTAATTAGCCAGCTAGCAGGCCATGGCTCGAGCGGTCAGGATGATGGCCAGGAGCCTAGGAGACAGGATGTCCACCTACGTACTCCCTTCGTCTAGATGAATAAGTCTAGAAGGGACTACGTCGGTCTAGCCATGCATGAGCGTCGACGCCGATGCCAAGAACTGACACCGGAGCGCCGGCCACGAATGGAACCCAGCGTACGTGTCTATCTCACCTGTCTGCGACGCCACGTGCTGTGTAACAGATCTACTATCTGGCGTTGATCAGAAGGCAGATGACGTCGACGGCCGATCGATGCTCTGTGTCGTCCAAGACGGTCGCATTTTGTAGTGCTCCACACAGGTTTTGGTACTACTTCACGCAGTCATAGATGGACCCTTTCACCAATCATCCTCCTCCAGTAGATTCCCCCTGTCCTCGTCGCACTGCAGACCTGCCCCAGCCCCCAGAACGAAGGAACACACACGTGACAGATTGATTGTACAGGAGAGGAAATCACTTTGCCCCCCTCGCAGCACGGCTAAAATCACTGTTTTGCCCCTTGGTGACAAGATTAGCACAAATTGATCCTCTCTAAAAAACTTTAGTGCAATTTAATCCTTTCTACCAACAGCCAGCCCTCTAACACTGTAGGTCGACACAGAAGCGCTGAAGTGATTGGTGTTGCAATCTTGCTAAATGCACCGGCCAAGTCTCCGTTGACCGCTGACATGGCACCATGGAAGCGCCGAGGTCTCAGACTATGCTAGACACACCCCATGCGCCGGCGTTGGTGTGCCGAATGGATGGGTAAGAGCATCTCCAGCCGTGCCCCCAACAAGGTCCCCAGGCGACTTTTCGGCCGCCGACGCCAAAAAATCGGCCCAGTCGCGCCCCCAGGGACCCATTTTTCGCCGGCTCGGGCCGAAA